CATCGTATAAACAAGATAGTTAAGGCTTACCTGAAGGGCATTTATAGGATCGACTTCTGCAACAAGAACTCGAGCTCCGAAAGCTGACAAAGCTTGACAGCACCCTTTCCCGACATCACCATAACCTGCCACAAAAGCAACTTTTCCAGCAAGCATAACATCAGTTGCTCTTTTAATACCATCCACAAGGGATTCTCTGCAGCCATAGAGATTATCAAATTTGCTCTTAATAAGATAAATAAGTAAATAACGGTGAAATACAGGGGTTTTCTTTGGAATTTATCAACTAACCTTGGTGACTGAGTCATTCACGTTAAAAGCTGGGCATTTTAGTTCGTTTTTATCAAGCATTCTATACAAATTATGTACTCCAGTAGTCGTTTCTTCTGTGATTCCTCTGATTTCCTTGAGTAACTCAGGATATTTTGTGTGAACGAGGTTGGTGAGGTCACCGCCATCATCCAAAATCATATTTAAAAGTTTCCCGCCAGGAAAGAAGAGTGTTTGCTCTATACACCATATATACTCTTCGTCAGTTTCCCCCTTCCACGCATAAACAGGAACACCCCTTTTGGCGATTGCAGCGGCAGCATGGTCTTGTGTGCTAAATATATTGCAAGAGGCCCATTGAACTTCAGCTCCAAGCTCTAACAATGTCTCAATGAGGACAGCAGTTTGAATCGTCATATGTAGGCAGCCGGCAATTCTAGCACCTTTTAACGGCTTAGAGGTGCCGTACTTTTGCCTCATCATCATGAGACCAGGCATCTCATTTTCTGCAATCTCTATAGACTTTCTGCCCCATTCCGCCAAGCTAATATCCGCTAGAAAGAAAATAAGAGGTAAAACTTGCAAAGAATAAAGGCCTACCAACTTTATAAGAGAGCTGGGACATGGCAGGATACAAACGTTAGTTTCAAGAAACGCCCAGATTAAGATTAATCGTTTGATTCATACAAACAATGTATTTATCTCTGTCGAATCGTATGCATTAAAGTTTTTTATAATTCTTACTTGTTAAATAGTATTTGGCTTTAGTAAACATATATATATCACATAAACTTGTGAATTGAAGATTAATCCATATATCCTATACGAACTTGCATATATGCCACGATAAAGAATGAGCAATTAATCTGTAGTCTGCCTAGAACTACTGATAATAAAACAAAATAAACATTAATTACTAAGTCTGCTAATTTATTTATCAATTAAATATGAGATCAATGTATCACTTTGCTTCAGAAAATAAGCCAAGTTCAATTATCTAACACTCGTATAATGATCTTGAGTTTTCCTTGAATCTTGATGCTTATCAGCTTATAGTGCATTTATATAATTTAGCCATACCTATTTTTTATTATATCGGCTCTGTTAAATAGATATATATAGAAACAGAGAAAGTCACACCAGTAGCTTAAATTTGGATCAGTATGTTATGACTTGATCGGAGTTAGAATAACTTGGTATCCTGAGTGAATATTAGGATCACGTGGCTCATAAAAATATAGTGTAGGTAATCTTACTCTAAGCCCGAGGACTACCAAAAGCCTCTGTGTCGGTTGAATCAAAATAGAGAGATATTTATAGCCTAAATATAAGCAATTGAAAATATATATGAATATGCTTTTTTTGAAGGAATAGTTTTAACTACCAACAGAGAATTGACAATGAACAGATGGAGTAGGTATAATATGAATTTTTAGGCTGAATTTTAAAATGATAATTTATATTTGATTAGAAAAATTCCTTTACCGACCGTGGAATTCT